AGTCTGTGCGATTACTACGACTCTCTCTATCCACCCACATGAAACACAAACTGCTGTACAGAACAAGTTCATGGCTTATCTCCACGGGTTGTTGGAGTCGCTTGGGAAAAAAAGCAAAATCACTGTTTAATGTAGAAGTATACGTTGCAGGCAAAGGGAATATGAAACTTTGACAACTCTTCCAACAATAAAGAAAACCTCTTGGAAAGTTCTAAATGTTCCAAACGCATACAGTCAGGTGAGAGAACAGCGTATCCAGGATGGCGTTGATTTGACATAAATTTGATTTACATTTCACATGTCGTATTTCACAAAAAAATCCAATATGAAAATTCCATATTAAAAAATGCTGCATATCTTAAACATCGCTAGGACAGAACGTCCCAAAATCTGCTTCTACTGACTCTATTTGAACAGGTTAACCAGAAGCAAATCTAACGACTGACGACTGACAGGAAATTACCATTTGAGCAAAGCGATCAATTAAAAAGACACACGGCTCACTGAGAATATGAAGATTTTCTCCCCCGGTGTGAATTTTTTTTATGGCTCTCTAATAAATCTTGGCCAATTATTGCCTGATCTTTGATCTCCGTCTTAATGATAAAAACCCACAAGAGCAAATAAACCAACTCCTTTATTCCAGTCAGGCTGCAGAGAGTTCCTGACTTAAAGGAACAGTCCGTATCTTTTGAAGGTGTGGGAAAGGTTATAAACAATTAATATCTTACTTGTTGTAGATAATTCTTTGAATGACAATTTTTTTTMMGGGGGGGGGGGGGYTACATTTRTGATCAGGTTATAAAAAAGGCCAAGATCAAAGTGGATTACTTTAATATCATTATGAATACTTCTTTCCATGTGGCTGTATCCTGAGTTACTGTTAGAAGTACTGCAGTGCAATGTTTTATGGTCCTTCTGGTGGAGTCTGATGCTGTTTTCCAAAATGGAGCTGCGTACGAGAGTTTGTACATGCACTGGGGTCACAAGTCACAAGACTAGTGTTTCTAAAAGTAGCCTGAGTGGAGGTCCCCATTAGGTTTTGCCAACTTTAAAATGGTTAACTAACTAACATCACCAGGTTTGTGTCAGTCCCGCCAGTCTTCAGCTCAAAGGAGACGAAGACGTGTGGCACAGACTGAGTGACAGTTGTCTGAGTAGTTAGTAATTAGCTGTTAGTATTAGCTTCTACTAATGTTTATTTCTTTAGCTGTTCAACGTTAGCTTCATCAAAAATTTTGTTGTTGTTAGTCAGTGAATTATAAGTTAGCAAAGCTAGCTTTTTGGTTAGCTGCACCCAATAATGAACCAGCCGTCTGAATCAATCAGTTGTAGTTTGACATCCAGTGTTTACTTCCTGAGAGTTTCATTGAAATCTGTTTATTGCTCAGTTGATGTTTTGCTAACAGACAAATAGGATGACTCAGACAGTTAATGCTAACATTTGAAGCACTTGAGAGTTTGTGTTGCGAATGACTCTCAACTACAACTATCCTTAATTTCAGCTCAGCATCTGTAAAATTTGACAAAATTATAGGCGTTTTTGTGTTTTCCAGAGGTCAATTGTCTGTGGCTGTCATTTTAAATTAGGTTGGTTTCAAAAGATAATCAGTAGTAGATGTACATTTATTGATTATTTTATAAAATTTTATTAAAATGACATTAGTCCACTTTTATCTTGTCTCTCGGTCTAGCAGGTAGTTCTGCAACCTGTTATAAATTATTATTATTTTTGATTAAAGTTATTTAAAGAGCTATCTGCAACAGGTAAGATATTACTTGTTTATAACCTTTCAAAAAATCTTCACTTAAAAAGGAACTCTTAAATAATATGTTAGACCCCCTTTCTTACTGTATGTAACATTATAAGCAGCAGGAGTTAACCACATCCCTCCATGTTTACAGAAACACACACTGTAATGGTTTCATAGACTGTTAACACCTGTCGGGCTCAGTGACAGTCTATAATTTTCCAACTTAATGGGGCTCTGATTGACAAGCTGACAGCAAATCACACACTGGGTGACCAGGCGTTAAAAACTGTAAACAACGTTGTTTTTATGGAACAGATGCTTGCGCACAAGAAGGACTACGGTGTCTCAGGGATTTGCATGAAAGCAAACCATAAAACGCTTAAAAATTCGCGACAGATTTTTTTCACCATGAAAGTTATGAAGTGGCAAAAACAAGCCCACAGTTCAGCTGCTGTGTCATTTCGATCACATTGGTTAAGTCACATTTGATGAAATGACAAAGAAACCTAGAAAACACCCTTCGCTGTGAGGCTCTAATATAACATTCAAGCTGAGTCGAAGCTGCTGTTTCTGCTTCACCCCTTCAGCTGCAGCTACCATTAAGAAAGCAAAAGCCCACAGCGGAGTGCCTCCAATAAAAGGAAAGAGCATCCGGTTGTTCAGTATGAGGGAAGGAGTGGCTCCACGGCTCCCACAACAGCAGTGCTGAATCATCTCGAAAAACATCCATCCATCTCTGTGAGCCAGGGAGAGCGCCTAACCAAATTAGCATGGCAGCGTTTGTGTGAGCTCCTTGGAAGTGTGACAGAGGGAATATCAGCTTTCATTGCCAATGTCACTGCTAAAGACATGGAACAGATCAGTCCTGCAGACAATACAACACGATGGGAATCCCTTTGTGTATAATCTGCTTTAGCTTTTTTTCCCAAAGTGTTTCAAAGTGAATATTTGAGTTGGTTTTAGAAAGGCAGAATATACTGGCACACCTACTGGATTACAGCACAGGAGAGTTGCATCACATCCTGTCTGTTGTTGAAAACCCGGCGCCGAGTTTCTCTCATATGCTCGTCACGCCAAAACCTGCCCTGCGAGTTTTGTGAAAAAGCACTTATGTAAAACCCTGAGTGGTCTTTAAAGTGAGCAAAAAAGTCGACTGCAGCGATGTGTGAATGTGTTTTTAAGAGAGCACCTTTGAGTGGCATCAATTTAAACGATCTAAAGGCAGCACTCAGCTAATCGCTAAATAAAAATTTATTGTTTTAAATTGTGGCTTATGGGCATTATTTACATACATCAGTATAATACCAAAATCTAATTCAGCACATTGTATATTTTAGTTGTTCATGCGATAATGTAATAAATTAAATGCACCCATTGCAAACCATGAAATCAAACCTAACTTAGTTTATCCTGAGCAAAATCAAATGGTGCATTTTGAAAGATTTTAGTCCAGTAGTTTTTCAGGAGTATTGATATAATTCTCAAATGTGGGTTTGCACTCAATGTAAAAAAAAAAAAAACACCTGAATGAATTGACCAGAAACCATGCAGAGGCTTAAATAATGTGATTAATCTACAGTAGGCTGGTCGTAAATTGTGTAGATCAGTAAGTATGACTAGTAAGTTTAACCATGGACCTATTTTTAGTAACTTTGCCTGTTTCCATCTGGTCACAATTTTTGTCTTTTCATGTATTGGGCAGATCTGTGCTGAGCCGGCATTGCTGGCTGACTGCTGGCGTAGCATGTGGTTTGTCAAGTGGATGTGGGCCAGTTATGGCAATGATGGCACTATTTGAAGATGGCATGCCACAACTGGCCTGGTTGTGGTCTGGTTTATGCGGTGCTAACCCCATCTGGACAACCAAAGGGCCATCATTCTTTGTGGTACCTGTGCATTATGTGGACCAGATATAAGCCAGACAAATTTTGCTATGTGGGCATCAATATGAGGAAAACATTGGGCAGCTTAGAGGTTAACCTCTGCAGTAGCGCCAACACTATATCACCTTATATGTATTAGCTCAGTTCTACCGTGACAAACTAACAAGCTAATCTGAGGTCCTCCATCCATATTTTCAGTTGCAGACTGAGTCATTTTTGCGTTCCCCTCTCTGTCATGGAGGACCTCAGTGACGAGAGGAGAATGTGTAGCACTGAGCTAATACATATGGTGATAGCGTCGGGGCTAACGCAAAAGCTAACAGGCTAAGCTGAGATTCTTCTTCCATGAAGCA